GGGATCTATAATATAGATGCCTTTTTCAGGGATCTATTATAAGGCATCCTGTTAAGGGATCTATCATATAGTTCCGCTACTAACGGGACCATGGCCATTGGCCTGCTTGGGGAGCCGTTACTTAGAAAGTAGGGTTTAGGGTTTAGGGTTTTCCCATACGAAGAAACCTCAAGAAACAAGCCAAAGTTGTGATTTGTGCAAGGGTCCCAAGTTCAGTATAGCCAAAAGCGTTCCCTTAAAAGGATCGATAAGGGTTCCTTTAGAGTAGGATAGGGATGAGGGGTTTCATTTTAAAAGGGTTCCTTCACTATTACAGGGATCTATCAGGGTTCCTCTGAGAGTTCAGGGCGCAGGAGACAGGTTGGGGAGTTGTTGGTATGCCCATATCTAATCCCCATGCAATCAAAGTACACTATATCCCCCAAACACGGTTCTAACCATGCAGGCCCCGGTGGTAGCAGGAGACCAGAGTCAATCCCGAGGGATCCCCACCGTTAACTCATCTAGCAGTTGATCTCTCTATCCCCTAAACCCTAAACCCCTAAACCCCTAAACCCTTTTAAAGAAAAAGCCCTAAACCCTAAACCCTATAACTTCAGGTAGGATTCCTTAATCTAGAGATCCACCCTCAGCCCTAAACACCTACGCCCTAAGCCTTGAACCCTGAACTGGAGGCTCTTGGTTGGCTCATTTAGAAGGCCTTACTAAATACCATAGGGTTTTAAGGATTCCTTCCTATAGTTATAGTATAGCATAGCCCCAAACCCTATTCTAGTATTAAGGCCCCTATATTATCTGAGAGTCCCGAAGCATCGCTGCAGGTCTTGCACGGCCGTGCTGCCGACCTTCCGACGGAGGATCTGCTGGCAAGCCTCGGAGGTCCTCTGGGAGGGCTCCCCAAAGGGTTCATAGACGCAGGGTTTAGGGTTTAGGGTTTCCCTTTAACTTCGGGTTCCGTTTTTTGGTCATAGGACTTTCTGAGAGGCATAAGGGTTCGGAAGGGAAGTAGGCGTTCAAAAACAGGCCCGAAACCCCTAAACCCCCAAACCCCCAAACCCCCTAAAACCCCTTAAACCCCCCCAAACCCCTTAAACCCTAAACCCGCCAACCTCCAAACCCCAAACCCCTTAAACCCCAAACCAAACCCCCAAACCCCAAACCCCTTAAACCCTAAACCCCCAAACCCTAAACCCCCAAACCCTAAACCCTAAACCCCTTAAGCCCTAAACCCTGAACCCCTGAAGCCCTAAACCCCCAAACCCCTTAAGCCCTAAACCCCTCAAACCCTAAACCCTAAACCAAAAACCCTTAAACCCCAAACCCTAAAACCCTTAAGCCCCAAACCCCCAAACCCTAAACCCTAAACCCCCAAACCCTAAAACCCTTAGCCCCAAACCCACAAACCCTAAGCCCTAAACCCCTTAAGCCCTACAGCTCTGAACCCATCGCTGAGGTCCTCCAGAGCTCTTAGTCTCCGAGCTCCTGGGTTATACGGCTCCCCAGAGAGAATTCAGGGGGTTCGGAGTTTAGGGGTTGAGGGTTTGGGGGTTTAGGGGTTTAGGGTTTGGGGGTTTAGGGTTTAGTTGAGGAGTTTAGGGTTTAGGGGTTGAGGGGTTTAGGGGTGTTTAGGGGTTTAGGGGTTTAGGGTTTAGAGTTTAGGGTTGAGATTCAATCCTCCACACGTTTGGGACCGTGCCAGCGCGCGCAATGCATTGCTAGGTATGGAAAAGCGGTCTGAGCCGAAGCAGACTTCGAATACCAGAAGTCCAGCATACCGCGAGTACAAGCGGAATGCTGCTTGTTTCATCCGTTGCATTTTGATGGATGACAGGATTGATGCGGCCATCTCTTCGTTGCCTTCGTTATATGACCTAATTAATCAAGAAGCATGTGACTGAGAATGAGCTTGACGACATATTCATTGGCTTACATGCCACCGAGGAGCAAACTGCTCAATCGGTGGAAAAATGCCGCGAGTATAGGGTGAAGCTCGAGTCCATCTTGAAACAAGGCAAGGCACCCCGCGGTGTCATTGACGAAGGTTTTACCAGAGTGGACGTCAATGCCGTTTTCGGGTATCTTGTCGATCACGTTCTTTTTGGCGAAAGTCCCGACTTTCCGGAACCTTCTGTAGAGCAGCCAAACTCGCAGAATTTGACGATTAGACGTGCTGATCACGGGGCGGTGTCCCAGTTTTCGATCAAGCACAAACTCCGCCGCAAAATTATAGAAGATCTCGCGAACGTTAGCATCGACAGCCCGATATGCATTGAAGTCGATCAGACGGGAATGGAATTGCACGAACGTTCATCCCGCCAAATCGCCTCCGAGGGGTTACTGAGTCCGTGGCTAACGGTCTTTGAGCGCATTAGGACACGCCTAAACAAATCTTCACAGTGCGAGGATATTATCCATTCTTTTACTCGGATGATGAAGTTCGATTATAATGGGATAACCATCAAGATGAAGGTTTTTGTTGACGGGCATGCCAAATGGGCCAATTTCCGTTTTCAGGACTTTTACATGACCAGCGGATGGCGCTTCACCAGCACAATCAATTTCTTGGTTGAGATGGTGGCCACACACACGACTTTGGCCACAAATGTGTCGTGATTTTACGAGAAATTGGGCAGTTTGCCATGGTGAATGCATCAAGGAGAAATTCACCTTTACTTCTTGGCACGGAACTCAATTTCACATGTCGACACGTACTGAGGGAGACGACTTCATAGCATTGCTTTCGCGCACCATCCACGAGGAAGAGGCTGGTATTTTGATGCGATACCGTGACCTCGGGATGGAGACGAAGCTTAAATTCGTCGATGTAGGACGACGGGCGGAATTTGTTGGTTTGCATTGTTTGATGACAGCCAAGGGAATATCCCAAAGCCGGTGCCCAGATCTTTTACGCACCCTAACCAAGTTATGCGTCACATTAGGGCGTGGCGATTTTCTAGCGGTTGCCAGCCAATTCGAGGTATTGCTCGTTTGCTCTTATGTGGGCTTTGGTCTCGTCCGAAGTATCGGAAATGTTTTTGAGACTGGCAGAAGGGTGCGCGCGTCGACGCTTACATTTGAGTGGGTCAACTGTGATCCACGAGTACGATGATCCTTACTTGTGGCAGATGCAACACGAGCTCGAAGCAGACGTCACAGAAGGATCTCGTTATGCAAATGTCAGCATCGACGGCGTTTTACGAGCGACCCGTTCACGGTTGATGAGCGCGAATAGTCTAACTCAAGATGAGCAGATTGTCGCTTTCACCCACATTTTAGAAGTGTCAGTGACCACAGAGTTTCGCGAGGACTATCTTCGTTTCTTGGTCTTCTGTCAGTCTTTGGCCGTTGACATGGACGAGACTGACGCTTTTATGGCACTTCCGAACTTCATGCGGGAAGCTCTTTGCGAACAGTTGCCGACTAATTAGTTTCTTCGTTGTCTCACCCGGTCAGGATAATAGCGCCAAGCGCGGGGGCCTGGCTGGTCTTCGTCGGATTTTACAACCCATCGGTGAGGTCCTGCAGAACTCTTGGTCTCCGAGCTCCTGGGTTCAAACGGCTCCCAGAGAGGATTCAGGGGGGTTAGGGCTTATGGGTTGAGGAGTTTAGGGGTTTAGGGTTTAGGGGTTTAGGGGTTTAGGGTTTGGGGTTGAGGAGTTTAGGGTTTTAGGGGTTGAGGGTTTAGGGGTTTAGGGTTCAGGGTTTAGGGGTGCAGCGGTTTAGGGGCTTGGGGTTTAGGGGTTGAAGAGTGTAGGGGTTTAGGGTTTAGGGGTTTAGGGTTGAGGGCTTAGGAGTTTAGGGGTTTAGGGGTTTAGGGTTTAGGGTTGAGATTCTGTATGTCTGGGGGTTTGAGGGGTCTCGGAGTTTAGGGCTTTAACGGCTTAGGGCTTGAACTTTAGGAGTTTAGGGTTTGAGGGTTTAGGGGTTTAGGGTTCGGGGTTTCAGGGTTTAGGGTTTGGGGTTTAGGGTTTGGGGTTTTCGGCTCTAGGGGCGTAGGGGTTTAGGGCTGGGGGGTTTGGGGCTTTTTGCACTTCGCAAGCTTAGGGCTGATCCGATTCAGGAGTTCCTCCCTTCGGCTTCCACCACATGCTTTTCAATATCTAAACCCTGAATCTTGAACATAACCCTACTTGCAACTGCCACTTGCGATTCTATAGAGGCCCCTACACCCCACACTCTGAGCTTTTGAAAAAGTCTCTATACAACTACCCAGAAACCTGCAACCGAATCCTACGCCCCTAAACCCTGAACCCCTCAACCCCTAAACCCTACGCCCCTACACCCCTCAAGCCCCCAAACCCCTAAAGCCCTAAAACTCCTAAGTCCCTAAACCCTAAACTCAAAAGCCTAAACCCTAAAGCCTAAACCCTGAAGCCGTACCCCTAAAGCCTAAAGCTTTAGCGCCTTAAAAGCCCCGAAGGAGCCTCGGTCTCAAGGCTTTAGGCTTTAGAGGGTTTAGAGGGTTCAGGGTTTAGAGTTTAGGGCTTAGGGTTTAGGGTTTAGGTGTTTGGGTTTTGAGTTTAGGGTTTGAACCCGCAGCCCCACCACTTGAAGCGCCCCAACCAGCCCCCAAAGCCTTGCATCCGCGGCCTAGGCCTTAAAGCCAAAACCCTGGCCCCCAAAACTCCCCCAAAACCCAAAACCACTCCCCCAAAACCCAACACCTAAACCCTAAACCCTAAACCCTAAACCCAAAACCTAACCCTCAACCCTAAACCCTAAACCCTCAACCCTAACCCAAAACCCAAAACCTAAACCGTAAACCAGAAACCCTAAACCCGAAAGCCCTATGCTCTAAAGTCCCTGAGGCCAGTGAGGAGGGAGCCCCTGCCCGATGCCCAGCAGAGAATAGAGCTTCAAGCCTTTGGCGTCCTAAAGGAAGGGTATAGGGTTTAGGTCTAGAGGGTCTTGGCTTTGGGGGTTTAGGGTTTGGGGTTTAGCGTTTGGGGTTTAGGGTTTAGGATTTGGGATTTAGGGTCTGGGGTTTGGGGGTTTAGGGGTTTAGGGTTTGGGGTTTGGGGGTTTAGGGTGTAGGGTTTAGGGGTAAAGGGTTCAATTTTCAACAGATACAAGGGTTTCTGTTGCTAGTCGTTTAATGTAAAGGTTGTAGTCTTAGTGTTTTTTCTTGTGGTTGGCCCACTGGACGGGCAGATTTGTGCGCGAGGGCTCTTTCTTTTTTGGTGCCCCGATGTTTGTTGACTTAACCCTCCACCCTCTAAACTTCTCCTCAAAATTTTAAACGGTGTTTCAGGCCATCCTTCTGGACCTGCAGCGGCGCCTGGGCCCAGTGAAGGCCCCTCCGGGCTTGGATGAATCTAAGTCGTAAACCTTACCCCAAAACCCTAACCCTAACTGTAAACCCTAAGCCCTAAGCCCTAAGCCCTAAGCCCTAAACCCTAAACCCAAACCAAAACCCTATCAAACCAGAGAGCCGAAGCCCTTTCGGGCCCCACTAAGGGGAGGTTTAGGGTTTGGGGCCTAGGGTTTGGGGTTTAGGGTTTGGGGTTTGGGTCCTCATGTCTACGGGGAGGAGAACATCCTGAGCCCACAGCCTTCGCCTTGGGTTTCGGGGTTTCGGGATTCGGGTTTGGGGTTGAAGTGGAAAGGGTTTAGTGTTTAGAGGCTTGGGGTTTAGAGATTTAGGGGTTTCGGGATTAGGGTTTGGAGTTGGTGTGTTTAGGGCTTAGGGGCATTGGGTTTAGGGTTTAGGGTTTAGGGAGTTTACAAGGCTAAGATGCAAGATTCGTGTTGCTTGACAGGTGGAGGGTTTAGGGGTTGGCTGTGTCCAAGGTTTCAAGCCTAGGATTCCGGCTTACTTAGGTTTAAAGCTGATAGAACCCGGGTTCAAGATTTTATTTGCGGTTGTTTATTTCACTGCAGTCTCGGTTCCTTTTTCTCAATCTGTGTAACACGACAGGGTTCATAGGTTCAGAGTACAGAGGGTCCGCTGGAAGCCATTTCCCGGAGAACTGGATTCATGGTAAATGCTACTAAACCCCCAAACCCTCTAAAACCCAAACCCCGAAGCCTCCACCACTAAACCCTGTTCCCTAAATCCCTTACCCCTTAGCCCCAAAACCCCCAAACCCCTGAACTCCTTAGCCCCCGAGCCCTCAAGCCGGTTAGGGGCAAAGAGCTTTGGGGTTGAGGGATTTAGGCCCCTCAAACCCCTAAACCCCTCAACCCCCAACTTCTGCACCCCTAAACCCTTGGAACCTAAACCCTTAAACCCTAAACCCCCAAACCGGCACACTGTGAAACTGCTTCGTTTCCTGTACTCCACTGTGATGGCAGTTTAGCTGTTGTCTTTCCAGAGTGCAAGCCTCGACACAGAGGCGAGTCTCGCTGCGGAGAAAGGGGCTAGTGCACTTTAAAAAAAAAACCCAAACCGTTAAACCGTTAAGCCCTAAACGGGGAGCAGGTCATCCCGCAATCGGTCCAAAGCTGGATGTTGCCCGTGCACCCTGGATGCGGGGTTTAAGGCTTAGGGGTGTGGGGTTTAGGGTTCAGGGCATCGGGGTTTAATTAGGGTTCAGGATTTAGGGGTTTAGGGGTTTGTGGTTCGGGTTTAGGTGTGAAGGGTTTAGTGAGGGGTTTCGGGCTTTTTGGACTTCACTCAGCTTTTGGGCGCTCGCTTCCGGTCAAGCGCGTCGGGTGTGGGTTGCAAGTTTACACAGAGTCGGCGGTGTTGGAAAAGGCTGCAGCAGTTTGGGATGATGGGTTTGCGGTCTTGTCGATGACCGATGCTCACGGATTTGTTCTGCGGCTTTGGCTTTCTGGAAGATTCGGGCACCCGGAGCACTCGTGCATGGTCTTGTTGGCTTTGCGAAATTTTAACTTGCTTTGTGGAGCTATTAACTTGAACATGGGGCTGAGTTAGATTACTAGACCCCCAACTCCCACAACTGTAGTCTCAACATTCAAGCCACTATCAAAGGGGCATCAGTGGGAAAGAACAGGGTTTATGGGGCTTTTATGGTTTGGGGCTTCGCTAAACCCTGCGTTTTAGGGGTTTAGGCTTTAGGGTTTAAGAGTTTGGATAGGGTTTAGGTCTAGGTTTTGGGTATGCTACACACAGGTGCTGGGATTTAAATGGCAGAAAGGCTCAGGGAACTCAAGCATGGATCAGTATTGGGCTTCTGGGAAGCTCACCCTAAATAGTCTTGAGATACCTTCCATGCCTGACTTGCACTTTGTTATTCGTGTAAGTAACCTTCAGCCTTTGTGAAGAACCAGAACCCCTATAGAATCGCCAGTAGTTCCCCCCAAACCCGATAGCCTAAACGCCTGAAGCCCTAGACCCTATATACCCTGGACCCTAAATCCTAAGACCCTAAAGCCCTAAGCCCGAAACCTTATAGCCCTTTACCCTAAATCCTAAACCCTAAATCCTAAAGTCACATGCAAGTGTAGTCACATCGAGGCGGCCCCTGGAGCTATCGAGCCCCTCGCCGGCGGGGATGGGATGGGCTTCCTTTTTAGGGTTTAGGGTTTCGGGCTTAAGGGTTTGAGGGTTCCTTTTAGGGCTTTAGGTCTACTGTAGGGTTTCCGTTTCGGGTTTTGGGTTTGGGGTGTCTGGTTTTGCCCTCAAATCCTAAACCCTGTTTTAATCCCTAAGCCTTACACCCTGCCTTAAGCCCTAACCCTAAACCCTAAACTCTAAACCCTAAACCCTACGCCCTGAACCCTAAACCCTAAACCCCTAAACCCCTAAGCCCCTAAGCCCCTAAGCCCCCTAAGCCTCGCTGAGGCTGGCACTGCCTGAAGAACTGGCTCCTGCATGGAGGCTGGCCTTCGAGGTGGGCTGCCGCTTTTTTAAGGGGTTTAGGGTTTAGGGCTTAGGGCTTTGGGTTTAGGGTTTAGGGTGTAGGGCTATAGAAGCCTGAATAGTTGTCAATGTTATCAATACTGTTCCTTAGAATTCCTATTTTACCTATGATGGTCTAAAAACAGATATAGCAAAAGAACCCTCCCCTGTAGTAGAGCGTAAACCCAAGAACCTTCAAGACGCCTTTTGTAGAACAAGGGGGAGCCTAGGCCTAGGCGGATTCCCCGGGCCCCTGTATGGAGTATCTGCCTGTCGACGCCCCCCAGGGTCAGCCTCGGGGCATGTTTGGGCTGACGGTGTCGGGTTTAGGCGTCAAGGGTTCAGATAATAGGGCTATTGAGGCTTGGATTGATGCATCCTCATGAACAGCCAGCTTTACGGGCTGCCAGCGGATTGGGTAGCCGGCATAGAGGCCCGTCTCAGCCATGGCGGTCGTGCCTACGAAGCTCCGCGCGCCGCAGAGCGGGGCCTCCGTGCCAGTCAGTGGAAGGGAGACCATGGCAAAGCCCGTCGCAAGGGAGATGCCAAAAGCACAGCTCATCGCAGATGAGGACGTAGAGACGGCGGAAGGCTCCACTGAAATCAGGAACCTCTGCTAAACACCAAGCGCATTTTTTGGGCATGGTTTGGTGAACCGCCTGTAAGAGCCGCAAGAGAGAACCGGAGCTCCGAAGCCTCAACAGATCCCCAAATCCTAACCCTAAGCGGTTGAGGGTTTAGGATGAAGGCAAAAGCCCAATGCAGTAGAGGAGCATGGCACCTTTGCCTGGGGAGCGCGAGCATCACTGCACCGACCCTTTCTGGATTTTGCTTCTCCTCGCGGCCTTGGGTGTGCTGTATGTCCCCTTCACGAAGGCGAAACGGGGTGGGATCCTGGTTTCACGTACTTCAGCTTGAAGCTACCGCACAGCAAGGATATGTACGTACATACATACATACATACATACATACATACATACATACATACATACAAAAACGAGCATTCCTTATGACGGGCCCTTAAATCCCTTCTTAAATCCCCAGCAAGCCTTACGAAGCCAACCATTATAGTAACCATGACGAGCCTTCTAAGCCAAAGGTGCAAAACACTCGAAAGCCCTTTGAAGTCCTCAAGTAGAACCCCAAAAGGCTTTGGAGGAGGGCGACATGTCCAAGTACACCAGCGGTTTTGACTACAAGGGTAGGATGTGTGGCCACGACATCTGCGACAACGGAGAAGTTTGTGGACACTTCATCTACTTCTGCTCGAAGCTTGGGGAGAGCGGAATCGACACGTTTCATCCAATCTGCATAGACAGCTGCCCCACCTCCAACCTGACATCGCATCTCTGCTATGACGAAGCCTCGATGGGCCCATTGCTTGTGCAGGACTGGCCTACCAAAGAGTATGGCATGAAGTGCCTGCAACGGTCCCATCGCGTCTAGGCCCTATTGTTTATTATTGGTCATACTGTTCACAATCATCGACAGTATAGTCTTCGTTCGGAGGGAACGGGAAGCATGATTCTTGACGTTCCGCTGAGGTTTGCGGGAGGACCAGGAGCACTTGCGCAAGCGATTGGCCGGAGATATGACCCGCTTCAAGAATGCCGCTCACACCCCGGGACTCTGGGTTCTTGACTTAGGAACCTAACTTAAGTTACCATACATAGCCCATTTAGTTACCATAATGGGTTAAATAGCATGTGCATCCATCTGCTAAATAGCATACGAATCCATATGCTACCGTTATTGTGGTAGCTTCTACAAGTGAACTTCCCTCATATGATCCCAGGAATGGTACTTGACTGCGTCGCCTCCATTGCGGCGGCCCGATGGCACCTCCTCATCGTCGCCTTTGTGTCGATTGCCGCTGGCCTCATGTACATGCTCTTCTTATGGAGCTTCCTCGACTTCCTCATCCATGGATCGGTAGTGCTAGTGATCCTCATGCCCACCGCCGCTTGGACCATGTCAAGGAACTGAATTTCAGCAACCATTATGGTCGGACATGGTAGATCGCGCTTTCCTTACTGTTTTGTGTGTCGAGGATGCTCCGATGCTCCTTAACGCCTTAAATGCATCATTCTGAAACAATACAACACCCTCATTAGGAAGCTTGTATTGTGGAGTCTTGAACTGAATTTCTTGGTGCCCCAAGAACACCGTTATAAGAACCCCCCGAAGAACACATTTACAAAATCCCAAGGAACCTCTTTAAAACCCTGATAGATACCCTTAAACACTTAACTTGTCATGTATATACCCTCCAAAATTGTATTCTCATGATGAAGGTTATATGTTATCCTCCCCAACAATACCCTTGTAGAACCCGAGAAAAGGACCCGCACTCCTTGAAAGAAATGCGTATCCAACCTTCGAAGGATCCCTCCGACAGACCTAAACCCCAAATTAGGGCTTAGGGTTTAGGGTTTAGGGTTTAACTCCACAACCTAAGCTCAAACCCGTACACCCCACACCCAAAACCAAAACCCTAAACTCCCAAAGCCCCAAAACCTAAACCTGAACAGGGTTTAACACCTATACTAAAGAAGCTGATTCAAGCATGTATAAACTCACATGAATGTTCTGCCCACCTGCCCCCCGCCCTGACATCCACAAGGGAGGATGCAGGGTAGGGGACAACGCACCGGGGCAACCGGCTCTTAAGGGCTACAGCTTGGCTTCAGCACCCCCCTCGGCCTGCCATCCGGCAGGAGGCTGGGCGCTCTTCACAGGCTGTCCATCCCTTCCGAGAGACGAGCATCTGTGGCAACGCATGCTGTAGCTTTGCTTGTGCCGTGCTAGCACCGTGTTACTGCTCCCCCCTGTCCCCGGCAGTGGGCCGGCTACGCAAACTCTACCCAGAGATTCACCTTCCACCATGGCATTAACCAAGGCTTCCGGCATCATCCCAAGCAGAGCGCGCCCGTACACGACACCGCACCAAGGACCTGCGTGCCTGAAGACGATTTCTGCCTCTCGGCTACCTCAACTTCCTCCGCCAGGGCAGCCTTCCCTTGCAACCAATGCTCCACGTCTCCTGGATGATGGTGCCGACAATGGTTTACTCGCCACTGCAGCCCCCTCCATCGACCAAGTTCATAGCGGCAGCATTGTAATTGTGGTGGCGTGCTGGTCTGACAAAGTCCTCCAAGCCGTAGGATGCACCATGATTCGGCGTAGCAGAGACGCATGTCTGAAGCGCATAGCTTTTTCGCACGTACGTTCGTGCTTGGGCCATTGGGCGTCATAACCTCAGGAGGTGATTCAAGCATGTATAAGCTCGCATGAATGTTCTGCCCACCTGCCCCCCGCCCTGACATCCACAAGGGAGGATGCAGGGTAGGGGACAACGCACCGGGGCAACCGGCTCTTAAGGGCTACAGCTTGGCTTCAGCATATACCCTAATAACCTAAAACCCGAAATCCTGAACCCTAAACTTTAATAAACCCGAGAACCCTAAACCTTAAACCCCAAAACCTTAAATCCTAAACCCTCAACCCTTGATCCTAAAACGCTGCAGGCCTTCGGTGTCTGGAACCTCTTCGTCTTCTACAACGGCGGAGGGATCGGAGCAGCCGTCAGAGGAGATGCGCAAGCCCAGGAGTGGCAGTGGGGGTGTAGGGTTGAGGGTTCAGGGAGTTTAGAGGGTTTAGGGCTTTAGGGTTTAGGGGTTAGGGTTGTTGGGGTTTAGATTTTAGGGCTTAAGGCTCTAGGGACTTTAGAGGGTTTAGAGGGTTCAGGGCTTCATGGTTTAAGGCTTTGGGGTTTAAGCTTTGAGCTTTCGGGTGTAAGGTTTAGGCTTCAAAGCTAAGGGTTTGGCGGGAAATGCGTGAAACCAGCAGAACTGAACTGCTTGAAGAGCTTCTTGGTACCTGTTGCAGGGTTCTCACAGGGTCGGCTGTTGAGCTCAGGTCTGATGGGCAGTTCTCTAAATTAGGGTTCCTTTTGGGGTCCCTTAAAGGGATATGTAAGGGTTTTTATGAGGCTTCTATAAGTGTGCTATTTGGGTAGTTTTCTAAATTCGGATTCCAGGGCGCCGTACCGTGTTGGGGACCGAAAATGGAACCCTAATTTAGCGAGCAGCCCTGGCAGTCTGGTGTTTTGAGGAGGTCTTTGGGTTGGACGTTCCCTGAAGAGACCATAGCAATCATTGTGGACAGGAGCCTAACCAACCCCCACACCTGAAAGCTACACTCCCCTCGGAACCCCTAGACTCTGAACCCTCAAATCTATGCCTTGAGGCCCAACAGCCTACACCTTAAACTCTCATTTCTACTCCCACCCAAGACCCAGAAGCTCTTATATCGAAGTTAAACCTAAACGCGAATATTGGGCCTGCAGGGATTAGTTCACAGTAGACGGTATCATGCCCCTCTGAAATCTGATTCAGTTTATTGAGGCCCATATCATAAACCCTCCATAATTAACCCAATCTGAGACCTTATTCCAACGATTTCAGACCAATGTATTTATTCCCCCTGAAGCCGTAGACCAGATAAAACCCGCATAAACCATCAAGGACCCCTGTGGAACCTTGTAAAGCCCATATAGAAAGTCCATCTAACGCACCCATAGAAAGCAACCCCAACCCTGAGGCCTTCAAGCCTGAACCCCAAGCCCTAAACCCTAAACCCTGCGCCCTAAACCCTAAAATAACCCTAGAGCCTCGAGCCCTCAACCCTCACTCCGTCGTCTCCCAGAAAGGAGGCCTTGTGGATGGGCTCAGCAGGTGGGGCGCGGGTTCTCTGAATTGGGCTTTTCGAAGAAAGGCTCCTGTAGGTTCCTGATTCTAGGGCTACCGTAAGGGGCCCAAATTTTACCAATACCATATGATGGGCCCCAAAACCTTATTCTAATCATTCAGGGCCCTATATTAGGGTAGGGCAAGAAAGGTTTGTTTTTGAGTGCTTGATTTTTGTGTCGCAATTGTTTTAGGCTTTTTTGGGCCTGGGGGTTCGGCGTTTGGGGTCTAGAGTCTAGGGTTT